ATTCAGAATTTGTTCACTTACTTGATAATACTCGTATCAACTGGAACAGTGAATAATAAATATAATAAAATATGTTCACCATACTTTCACTTAATATTTTATTTTAAAGTATGGTGAACATATTTTGTAAGTTTCGTTAAAAATAAAAATACTACTCAATAAAATTTTCAATTGCTTCAATGTTTACATGTTAAAATAGTTTCACAACTTTTTTAAATAGTTATCGTGCTTAATTTTGTTGGGAATACAATCTTTTTATTTCTTTTTACTGTTATACAATCTGTAATAATTTTCAGGCAATAATGTTTATGTGAATTTTCATTATTTTATATATGAGATGAAGTGGGGTAAGTGTCGATATCGAATGCTTTGCACAATTACTACTATTCTTGATATTTAAACGTAAGTATTTCCAATCTACTATGTAAATACTTAAAGCTGTCGATATCGAACACTTTGCACAATTTCTACTGTTTAATTAATATTAACTAGGACCTTGATTTTCCTTGTACATTTTGATTTTGACAGGAAATTGTTTAAAATATCAACTACTCTGCACTTTCCCCGAAAATGTAAGAGCGTAACTTGAAGTTAAATACTTTGAAACTTTATTTCAAGTGCAATGGGACAAGAGCAGAATTATTAACAAATCTGCTACAAAATGCTTTTTACTGCATTACGCAAGTACTCTATACTGCAAACGAGTACTCCTAGCTGAAATATAAAAGGGGATATCGTGAAACAAAACAAGGAAACAAACATACTAAATGGAGAATTTCGCTCATAACACGTCACTCAATAAGTCTCCGGTCTGACACATATATGGCAATACTGGTGACGGACCCACGTTATTTTCGATTAATACTAACCTTCAAACAGTACGTGTCAAAATTTCAGGGTATTCTGACCAATAGTTTAGAAGTTACAGTCATTTTAGTACCCCCAGTTTCGTAATTTTGAAGACAATGGATAGAAAGGAATTTCGTGTGTTGATTAAACACTGTTTTTTAATCGGAAAAAATACTGTTGAAGCCAAAAAGTGACTTCATAAGCATTATAGGGACTCTGCACCAGGGAAATCAACTTTCGTTGACTGGTATGCTCAATTTAAACGCGGTCATACAAGCGCCGATGATGCTGAACGCTCTGGTTGCCCAAAATCAGCAGTCGTTCCGGAAAACATAAAAAATGCCCACAAAATAGTTTTAAAGGGCCGTAAACTTAAGTTGTGTGAGATAGCTGATGCCTTGAAGATATCAGAAGGTAGTGTCTTCACAATTTTGCATGAAAATTTGGGCATGTGCAAATTGTTTTCAAAATGGGTGCCGCGTTTGCTGTTTCACGAAGGCAATGCGCCGTGTCACAAGTCGATGAACACGATGGTTCAATTGAATGAATTACATTTTGAATTGTTTCCCCACACACCGTCCTCCCCAGATTTGGACCCCAGCGACTACTGGCTCTTTGCAGATATGAAAAAAATGCTCCAGGGAAAGAAATTTGGCTCAAATAAAGAAGTGATTGCGGAAACTGAAGCTTATTTTGGGGGCAAAGACAAATCGATTAATATAAAGGGAATTGAAAAGTTAGAGGTGCGTTGGAATCAATGTATCACACTGGAAGGAATGTATATTGATGATTAAAGTGGAATTTCTAAAAAAAATTTGTTTTTCTTAGTTAGACCAGAGACTTATTGAGTGACGTGTTATTGTAATAAAAATAGTCTGTATACGCACTTGCCCCGTTTACGAAATTACCTCACTTCACTTTACATGATTATTATTATCATGTATATCATTTATACATGACCTTAGTGATTTTAACCTGTCGAACATTTTGTTACCAGCATCATTAGTAATAAATCGATTGAATCCAAAGTTTCTAAGTTTGAAATTTTTCATTTCAATTAGCAATTCTTGATTGGAAATTTGTAAAATGAACGGATAAACAATTGAAGATCAATAGTGTACATAACTAAAAGTGTTTTGTATCTTCAGAAAGGTTAAAAATCAATTGTTTAAAGTAACAAATGATGTCCAATGTATGGAAACCAATATTGAAACAGCATTAAATTTAACTTACATTGCTCATGTAGTATTACAAAGCTTGAATACGTTTTCCAGTAACTGTCCTTTGCTTTTGAGGTATGTTTACTTTTAATTCATGTATGCACCCAGTAATTCACTTACATAACGCGTATATGTGACGGATCTGTTAAAAAACACAGTAATGTCGTGTCAAGTGAAATCATGTGCTATTACAATGAAATTCTGCTAAAGGTTTTTATAATTAGTCGACGCATAAAAAGAGTATCATTTACATATAGTTTATTTTATAATTTTTTGTCCACTTTACAATCCGGGTCATAATCGTTTGGCGAGATGTATGTGGTTTTACGTGAGAGTAGTACGAATTAAAATCACGTCGTGATGTTCACATCAAGTTTTTAAAGGACGAGGTATGCGTGCATCCTTGGTCTTTTCACGTATCTTTCAATACATACCGACCCAGGAAAATATGGCATTGGCTATCTGTTCATTTATCTGCCGATCATATCTGCATGAGAAAACATTTCAATTTTTGATTATATCTTGAAAATGAAGTCGTTGATTGAAAAATGGTACAGTAATTTTCGATTTAGAAAAATTGATAGTCGTAAATACTAACTTTAATCGAAATTTAATTAAGAGTTTAAGTGAGGGTTTTAAAAAAATGGAAGAGGAAAGTGTTTTTGTATATATTAGTGGCAATAGCATATATATTAATTTTATTTGCATTATTTCTCGAGAAATGTAGGCGATCTTCAATTGAGTGCTGCATATTTTTTCAAGTCAAACCAAGGTAAAGAACAAAAATAATACTTTGAACATTTCGTGTTACCTGTACTTATTGATATTTCTTATTGATATGTTTACAATTCGTGCTCAATGTGACGTACATTAGCCAGAATACACTTTTGTTCTTTATGTAATATATTTTTCGTGACTTCTGCCATTATTGTTTGCAATAACGATGTACAGGTGTCTGTTATTTCTCGTTTTAAATTATTTACATTGGAGTGTATATGAAACGACATTTTTGGTAGAAACCCATAAAAAAATCCAGCAGAGATAAATCTGGACATCTCATTGGACATTTCACAGATTCGTATGTTCCAATCCAATTGTTTGTGAACATGTTAATTTTTAAAGTAATAATACCATATGACTATTATTTATATATATATTTTTCAATTTTTCACTGTTTTAAATAATCAGTACAAAATTTAAACGAAAAAATAATAAGAAACAGTAAGTAATAAATATTGCAGTAAATTACTTGCTGATTAAGAAAATTTCGTTTCAATATTTCACATAATTTTTCATCAAGTTTTCGTAATCGACTGTTTCGTTTATCTGTGTCTTGCTATCTACTATGTACCTTTGCAGTGAATGTCTCGTTTGAAACTCGTTTCGTTCGTGTGTCGTAAGCCACATGCAAGAAATTCCATCTTCTTCATGTTTGCTCTGTCAGTCGTAAGAATTCGGTTAAGTACACTTGCTTCTGTTCAACAAATGGACTCTAATGAACGTAAACGAATACATGATAGGTGCATAATCATACACGTTGGCTCTGTGATAAATTTCTTGTGTTTCTCGAATAGTCATGTATATAATCGACATTTGAGCTGAACTTACAGTCACGATTGACTGATTCTATGACTAATTTTCTGTATACTGGTCTCCATGATTATTTGATCTTATTTTAAATATAATTTGACTTGAACAAATTAAGGTTATAGTAAGATTAATCAAATTAACTCATGATTTTCATTTTGCAATATTATTTATTTATTTATATTATTAAAATTTTATAAATGGTACTTACTGCTAGCATTATTTTACTGTTGAAAATATTATTAACACTGAAAATAATAGTAAAATATTATAAAATACAGCATAGTTTTTTTTAAATATAAAATTTGTTTACTTTCAATAAATACAAGTAGATTCAATAACTCTTAATTTCTATCTTTTTACTTAAATGTGTCAAATAATTAGCAACATATGCTATCAAATATCTGATAAACAATATAACTTTTCTAATCAACAATATTCATTTTCTAATATAAAATTTCACTCAAAAGTGCAAAAAATAAATAATAAATTTTTATTCATTATCTTCATCCAGTGTGACTAACAATAAATAATACGTAAAAAAGTTAATTGTGTAAAAATTAGAACTTGAAACAATATCTTTAAAATATTATCTGATATTTTTTAAACCTTATGTTAGGATTGTCTAAGAGAATTTAAAATTCTAATATGTAATGACATTCGATCTATAAACACACGTGGCTAGATTCACAAGAAGACACTAATAAGATATATTAATTAAACACATCTAACAGCAGTTAGATTTTTACTTCTAATAGTTGACGTTGGATTTTAGCAGTTAGCTTCTTCACATTGTACTATAATATTTATGCAGCGAAAAATGATGAAGGTTTTGCGTATTTTACCGTACTCATAAAGTTACGTAAAGAAATTAGCCATAGAATTGTAAATAAACTTTACTTATGTTTGTTTATCTCTAAAATACAAAATTAAAAAACATTTATTCTAACATTATCAGGTACATTTTGAAATGCAAAATGAAATGAACATTTATAAAAGCACATAGTCTTATGAAAATACGTAGTTCATGTTGAAGTATTTGCAGGAAACGATTGTATGAAGCATTTAAATCTATCATCGGTATATTAATATTGAGACTAGTATTTATATTAATTATTTATTAATTTAATAATTTCATAATTACGCAATCGAGTCACTCAAAGGTTAAATTATTTAATTTTCTTTTGTTCAACGTAAACAAACGTTTAAAAAATATTTATTTTTATATATTCAAGAAAATATATCATTTTTTGTATAAATTTTAATACAGATTGTAGAAACAATATTTATTATGTGTTTTCGTTATCATGTAATAAATCTAATAATAATAGAGAATGTTTATAGGTATCCTATCGGAAACAAGGAACTTCCGTACTTCACGCAGTGGGTCAAAGACGTATTTGATGTAAATCTGAGCACCTATGCACCAGCTCAACCGCCTCCAACGAATTTACCGGAACCAATTGTTTCGCCGGAATTGTTGGAGGGAATTCGAGATCTAAAAATCGAATATTCCACGAAAGGTATCGATCGATTGGTTAGATCACACGGACATACACTTCGTGATATTTATCTTTTGAGGCACGGATCGTACAAGCGAATACCAGATATTGTTGTATGGCCAAGTGAGTAAGTTAAAATTGTTCATAAATTACTAATAATTTTTTTTACTTAATTTAAAACACATTGCTTTTTTTATTTAGTCAGTATCTTAGTTTAAAAATTACACTGTTTATTAATAAATATTTAATTTACATAGTTTTTTATTTCTGAAAGTATATATTTTATAATTAGTATGAATTAAACTATAGAGGTATACAATTTGCCAACTTGTATAATATTTGGTTTTTATTTTTTAATTTATTTGTTGTAAGTATTATTCCATTCTTCATTCACCTAATTTTCAACCAACAAGCATGCAACCATTTAGTATTTCATATTACAATTATAAAAATCTACTGTCCATTATTTGTGACACTCATAATAAAAGTGGGGCGACTATATTTTCTAAAAATTTGAATCGATCAAATTTGTTAAAAATTTGATTACCTATATTTTCATATGTCTAAAAAATATAGCAAATCAAGTCTTCTTGAAGAATGTTACTATTTTATATTTCACTTTATCAGTGGAATACTCTTGTAATTATACTACATAAATTAATTCTATAAATTTTCTATTTTGCTGTTTCTTAATTAAATTGGGAAATGTCGGACAACGTATATTTATTTTTGTGTTATGTACAATTTAATTTTGGAACATATACATTAATGATTTATTATTGAAACGGTAGGAGCATATACTTTGATTAGTTTCATTTACTAAACTTGATTCTAGTTTTATGTACATATTACCCTATTTTGCACAATGACTCTTTTTGACAAACGTTATTTCTAGTTATCGTTGGGTTTCGTTTACATACTCTTTCACTTAAACTCTTTACACAGTTTTACACAATCGATGCTAGCTAGCTAGCATAACGGTGGGTCAAGCGAGAGTTCTCAAACCTTGGCTTAGTTATACACTGCAATTTTCGGAATGCGCTTTTGCACTACACCTTAGTTGCGAAGTATATGTACACGTGTGAAATTCAATAGGTACACATGTGTTTCATGTACTTTCACTATTATATTATATTTTACATAAATTTACGTTATTATGTAAAATACGTATTATTATGTAAATCATTTATATTGTTATAAAATATCATTTAGATGAAAATCAAGGTAGTTAATATTATCTTTTTGGGAGAATATAGAATAATATAGATATTAGTACTATTATTGTTTTGCAACGGTAATGTTTAAAAAACAATTCTAAATAAGGTGAAGTGGGGTAAGTGGGGTAAGTGTGAGTAAGTTAAAATTGTTCATAAATTACTAATAATTTTTTTTACTTAATTTAAAACACATTGCTTTTTTTATTTAGTCAGTATCTTAGTTTAAAAATTACACTGTTTATTAATAAATATTTAATTTACATAGTTTTTTATTTCTGAAAGTATATATTTTATAATTAGTATGAATTAAACTATAGAGGTATACAATTTGCCAACTTGTATAATATTTGGTTTTTATTTTTTAATTTATTTGTTGTAAGTATTATTCCATTCTTCATTCACCTAATTTTCAACCAACAAGCATGCAACCATTTAGTATTTCATATTACAATTATAAAAATCTACTGTCCATTATTTGTGACACTCATAATAAAAGTGGGGCGACTATATTTTCTAAAAATTTGAATCGATCAAATTTGTTAAAAATTTGATTACCTATATTTTCATATGTCTAAAAAATATAGCAAATCAAGTCTTCTTGAAGAATGTTACTATTTTATATTTCACTTTATCAGTGGAATACTCTTGTAATTATACTACATAAATTAATTCTATAAATTTTCTATTTTGCTGTTTCTTAATTAAATTGGGAAATGTCGGACAACGTATATTTATTTTTGTGTTATGTACAATTTAATTTTGGAACATATACATTAATGATTTATTATTGAAACGGTAGGAGCATATACTTTGATTAGTTTCATTTACTAAACTTGATTCTAGTTTTATGTACATATTACCCTATTTTGCACAATGACTCTTTTTGACAAACGTTATTTCTAGTTATCGTTGGGTTTCGTTTACATACTCTTTCACTTAAACTCTTTACACAGTTTTACACAATCGATGCTAGCTAGCTAGCATAACGGTGGGTCAAGCGAGAGTTCTCAAACCTTGGCTTAGTTATACACTGCAATTTTCGGAATGCGCTTTTGCACTACACCTTAGTTGCGAAGTATATGTACACGTGTGAAATTCAATAGGTACACATGTGTTTCATGTACTTTCACTATTATATTATATTTTACATAAATTTACGTTATTATGTAAAATACGTATTATTATGTAAATCATTTATATTGTTATAAAATATCATTTAGATGAAAATCAAGGTAGTTAATATTATCTTTTTGGGAGAATATAGAATAATATAGATATTAGTACTATTATTGTTTTGCAACGGTAATGTTTAAAAAACAATTCTAAATAAGGTGAAGTGGGGTAAGTGGGGTAAGTAACATGAGCGAAATTTCTCCATTTAGTATGTTTGTTTCCTTGTTTTGTTTCACTATATCCCCTTTTATATTTCAGCTAAGAGTACTTGTTTGCAGTATAGAGTACTTGCATAATGCAGTAAAAAGCATTTCATAGCAGATTTGTTAATAATTCTGCTCTTGTCCCATTGCACATGAAATAAAGTTTCAAAGTATTTAACTTCAAGTTACGCTGTTACCCCATTTTCGGGGAAAGTGCAGAGTAGTTGACATTTTAAACAGTTTCCTATCAAAAGCAAAATGTACAAGGAAAATTAAGGTTCTAGTTAATATTAATTAAATAGTAGTCATTGTGCAAAGCGTTCGATATAGACAGCGCTAAGTATGTACGTAGCAGACTGAAATTACTTACGTTTAAATAACAACTTTACAAAAACCAGTCTGCACTTGCCCCACTTCACCTTATATCTGAATTTTGAATGAAACAAATATATTCATATACAATGTAAACGATATGAAAGGTATTCTAATTTATACGGACACTTAGATTTGCGTCAATATTATCCATAAGAAAATATGTTTTGGATAAAAATATAATTGTTTAGACAGCAGCATGTCTCAGTGTTATTAGCTTTGTTTATTTATTTAAATAATACCTAAAGTAAAAAAATAAGTAAATTGCAGATGATATGTGAACTGCCTAAAACATTGATTCTTTTGCTGAAAGTTGATGAAAGTTGACATTTTTACAAAAATTTCTTAACAAATTCTGTCATTTAAAATAGACCTATTATCCGTCATTTTGACGGGTTCCGTAAATCTAGTGTTAAAGGTTATGTGAAGGTCAGTTGTGCTTTTTAAACGGGATCGTGTCTTTTAATCCTTCCTTGCATTTCCAATTTTGAAAAAAATGTACTTTTAAACTCTCACAAGTGATACTACTGAAAAAATACAAACAAATGTTTCCTATTAAAATAATTTATTTAAAAACATATGTTGTGAATTGTGAATTTGCAACATTGTATTAAACACAACAAATTGTATTTACAAAACGCAATGAATGTTTCCCAAACATTTGCTCATTATGAAATTTGCTATTCATTTATATTTGACAAAATACAAGAATTTCATAGAATATTATTTTGTGAAATATAATTGCAACATGATGCAACGAAGGGTTAATGCATCATACGCTGTAGCTGAACATTCTCTTTAAAGAAGAGTATGGTAATCGTGAGCTACATGGGAATCAGCGCTGATGACCTTGGTTTTGATATATGATGCTGAGGATATGATTCTTGTAAAAAATTTGTTGACGATCTCTAATATTTTTGAGGTATTTGTGAACAAATTTTTATTTACGTTACTCGCTCGCAAAAATCTAAACCCAACCAATAACAATCTGACAAGTAAATGAGAGTAGCGAACGATGGAGACCCGAGTTTATTTATTCACTTTGTTCTCGTGTAGGATAGGTATAAGATTGGATCAAATATCTTTGGAGCGAGTATGACTTTCCCACTTGCTTCTATTCCATTGATTCTTTATTTTTTTTACAAAAAAATAATACACATTAATAAACATTAATAGACATTAATAGCAACTTGATTTCTTTGTAAAAATTATCATTTTATAGGCGTAATCTTTCAGTATATCAAAAATAGTAATTTGAAAGCGTTACGATATATCAAAAATAAAGATCTACCCCAAAATACCGACGTCTATGATTCCGACAGCTAAAATCACGTAAAATCCCGACGGTTCAAAATACCGACACATGAAAATCAGACGTTATTTTGATATTTTATTAATTTTTGTAATATTTATAGAAATGAGTTGAATTTGAAAATTAAGCAAATACTTAATTTCTAAAAGGATATAGTATATATGTATATTTAACATGATTAATCTAATGAACACAAAAAGTATATAATTAAAGTATCAAAATAATACCATAATTTTAAAATATTTAGAAAGAAACATTGTTTGCAATACGGAGGTAATCTATTTGGGCGATCGTTATTCTTTTGCACTATGATTTATTTCTTATATGCGTCAGTTAGGTCTAATTCATCACTGCTACAATATTAAAACAGACAAAGAAAGTTGAAATGTCATGTCAATTTGGTATTATGCAATCGTTGTCTATGAAAATTGTAATTGGACTGTAACTCCAAATTGAAGCATATTAAAAATTTGAGTAAAATTGTTTATATCTGAAATACGAGTGCGTGCTAGTCAGATTCGTGAAAATAGTGCAAGGCGTTATCAATGGTCATTATTCTGGTTTCTCCATCAACTGTCGCTTACAAAAATAAATATACAAATAAAATTTAACAATCTTGAAATAGTTTGTCTAATTTAGCAATTTGAAGGGGAATGTCATTTATAAGAAATAAAGAAATAATTGCAATCGGGTTCATAGGTGTCCGCATTGTGGGAGTCACCCAAAAAATAGTAACTATAAAACACAACCAATTTTTTTCATGAATATTTACAAAGGTGTAGGAGTCCTATAATCTGATTAGGAAAACTTACTCAGAGTTATGTTCTTAACATGACAAGATCAAGG